ATCTCTGGATGTTGATGTGCAGTGTCATGCGCTGCCTTGTAGCATTTCCACATGGGCGATCTGTTACTTTGCAGCATTAGAATCTGCATTTGATTTCTTACTCTCTTATCTGACTCCTCAGGGATTCGGTAAATTCAGCAGTAATTTACGACTGCCATTCTCTCTGGGCTTTGACACATACACAGTCAAGGATTAAAATCAGGCTTCTAAAGCAGTTACCACTTGCAGCCATCTGCCCTGCCCTTCTGATGGAGACTGCCAGTGCCACCACAGTAAGCCTGAAAACCAAGTGAAGCAACTGCTGAACATCTCAAGCCTATTTATTAAGGTACATAGATCCATTTTGAATGTAATGCCTAGCTGAGAACGACAGCAGTACAGAAGCTGGTTCATAAATCATACAGCAATCTTTGTCAGAGGTGGGGCAACAACTTGGGCAGCACCCGTCTGAGCCATCTGATTTTATTCTGCTTCTTCATGTGAATGAACCCTTGGACTTCATCAATGTTTACAAGTTAGTAAATGACAATCCTTCCAAAAGCAATTGTTCCAGAACAACAGGGCTACTTCAAATTATTTTACTGAGTGCTTTACAGACTCTCAGTTTTCATTGGTTACAATTTTTTTAGCTTTTTTTGAAATTTTTGAAATTTTTTGAAATTTTCACAGCCTCAAATGAAGCAGAAATGAGGGTTTGCTGCACATCCTCCTTTGAACCCCAATAAGAAGTGTATTAAGTGACTATCTCCACACTGGAAAATCTGTCTCTTTCAGACACTTGGGTGCAAACTCAGAAGTATCATATAGCAAATTATGTGGCTCTTATTTACATGATTTTATTACACAGAGTGAACATTCAAATTAGTTGTTGATTTTAAATGATAAACCTTTATTCTGAATATACTGTTTTTGCACAAGAATTAACACAACAGTTCTAGGATTATAAACTTTTTATAACATTATTGTACAAATTTTTACAAAAAAATTATTTTTCCAGGCTTGTCAAGTTCCACAAAAGTGTCAAGAGAACACAAAAAAAGGGAGAAAGACCTGCTTGCCTTGTAGGAGCAACCAAGTCTTTTTTTTTTTTTGCAGAAACGCACACTGAGCATTTCAATAAAAATATCCCAGAAAGCATGATCCAGACATTCCATACAACACAAGAAGAGAAGACAGCTTTGTCAGATCACAATCGCAATTTCATGGCATCTGAACAAGAGAGTATCCCTTTAGCCTCAGTGAAATTATTTCTTCAAGATGATGTTTTTCTTTTAAACCATAAACAGGACAGATGCAAGTAGCTGGGAAGAGGGTGAGGCTGACTTTTCAAAACTCTTGAATTGTTTTCAGACACTTTGTTTTCATCTTTTTACAGTAGTGTACAATGAGTATTAACAATATTAACATTGTGGTATGAAAAAAAAATAATAATAAATCTGGCCTTTGTTAAAGGCTTGGAGATCTGATGAAGGTAGGGTAAAATTTATCCTAAGGAAGGAGTTACTAAGATTTCACATTTAGTCAACATTCCAAAAACACCCGAGTGTTTTGCAGTGCCTTGTAGGCATTAATATACTTCTTAATAACCAGTGTGCTAGCATCTGAATGTTTAGGACCAGTGGGACTGAGTTTGTGTTTTGAAATTAAGACATACTAAGCACGTTTTCTGAGCTTAAGTATTAACGGGAACAAAAGGTCTTAATGTCTCTTCAGTGATACTGAAAAACTCTCAACCACAGCAAGTAACACTTGGGTTGCAAAGGTCACTTAAAAGGGATACTGCCTATTTGAACCCGGTAAGGCCAGTTTTTAAGTTAGTAAAAGGAATATTGTAGGAAAACTTACAAATGGCAGCAACACTGTTTTTTCGTCAGTTAAGCAGTAAAGCCTCAAGCATTAGAAACATGAAAAAGATCATACTAAAGTCTTAAAGGTAGAGGACCTAAAAATCTTGTCAATCAAACCTGCTATGTCATGTTAAAAACCTGTTACAAATATGGACCACGGTCAGTGTTTTGGCAGTAATGCTGGTTGTTTAAATGAAAAACTAGAAAGAAACCTTTCATGTTAAGTCCTCAGATCATGTTTTGCACAGTACCATGCTGTAAGAACTTTAATGGTGGCTATTTGTCAGATATACAATAGGCTTGCATGACTTCTCTGTAAACTGAAACAGTCCCAACAGTTCCCTTAGTGCTATTTAAAGGATCTGAGCAAATATCAACAGAGCTTTGGCTTTTTTTTTTTTAAAAAAATCCTTTTTACAACATATTGTAATTTGAAAACGTCTCAATTTAAAGCCTAGGATCAAGTTTCTACTCTCACAGACAAGAGAAGACTATTATGCATTACGCGAGGGTGAGGATACTCTTCTGCATGAGAATATGTATTTATTCATGCAAGTTATTTCTAACAGATTGGTATTCACATTTTGAGATAGCTAAAGTTCACATTGCATTTTAGATCTGTGTTTTGTAATTTACAGATATCTAGGTAGTGCATTTTAAAAAACCTTGACCATCACTTGGATATAATCGAAATATATACTTTTTTCAAAAAAAAAAAAGCAAAAATTTTTTTTTTTTTTTTTTTTTTTCCTTTTTAAAGTATTGACTTCTATGGGGACAGTACTAATCCCTTCTGGAAGGACCAGAGTTTTCTATCAGACAGGAATAACGGCTGGAAGGCTAAGAGTTTATATAGAAACATGTGTCTTCAGGTCATATAGAGGCGCAGAGGAGAGGAACAAAGGACATTTTGCTCTTTGGATAACCCAAGTAGGCTGATGTGTCTGCATCACCTGGGCTTCTCCCTCCTTTTGTATTTGAGCACTCTAAGGCAAGTGAGATGAGAGCAAAAGCCATGGTTGTTTTCTGTGGCAGGAGGGCTTTGTGCCACCTTTCTTTCTCCCTACAGACCCTAATCAAATGGTTATTAAGTAATGCAAAATATGGCCTACCAGCATAAGCAACTAGTTCCAAAATGTTAAATAATGTAACTTTTCCATGAAGGGTTTCTTTTGGGAAGCTAAGTGAAAACTATAGAGAACTTAATATACTGACAAAATGCAAACTAATACGTATTTTAATTAATCTTAGTGTAAAAGCTGTGGGTGTAGTGAGTATTGGTCTAAAGTTACAAAACTTGTTCCTCCCATAAAATTTCAATTGAACATGTTAAGGAAAAACACAAGATGCAGTCTTAGCATTAGAAAGACTCAAACCAATTTTTTTATCAGGTGGTAACTGGTGACAGGGTGAAGAGAAGTGCAGTAATATGACTAGAAGGAAAAGCTCCAAGATTATCTTCACCCGTATTGTTAAAATTAGCTCACCTTCCCTGAGGAGGACCTGAAGTCATCCAACACAGTTAATTGTACTTTTAACCCCATGACTTTACTAGAGATATTTTTTAAAAAGCTAAATCTGATTGCTGAACAAAAGGTCAGGTTTTCTTTTTTTCACTCACTGTATTCCCAAACATGAGAAAATACATAGCTGGAGCCAAAGTACATGAGAAAAACAACGAACCAGCCATGGGTACAACTACAGTAGACATCTGATCTTTTAAGCCATGCCACGGCTTTGAGTAGCTTCTTCAGTTTTCATAGGATATTAATGCATGCCCAATTATTTCTTTAAGCTTTTGGCATGATCAAAATTATATCAATCAGTTGCCAGCATATACATACCAATGCTTCGCATTGTCTTATTTTTTTAAAGAGCTAGTGTAATGTGCCATGTTAATATTTGCATATTGCAGTTGTTAGCAGAATTGTACAATACCAGCAGAGTTGCACATTCATTGGTTTAGCTGTCTTGCAATACTGTTTAGTTCTGAAAACTAGAAAAAAAGCGCAAATCATATTTTGCATCAACACTATGCTACACTGTAATATTGTAATTTACTGCACCAATCTGTATCACCAATGAGGTTGTATAAAAACAACTTCTAAAATTATTATTCACAATCAAGTATCAATGTGCATACATATAGATTCAAGGCTCCCCATTTGTTTAGATTTTTTCTAATCTCAGCAACCAGGACATTTTGCTGTTAAATGTGCTATTTTTGAATAATAAATAGCAACAGCAGAAGTTTTCATATTATGAGTGTTCTTATACAAAGGAAACAAAGGGGGAACCTGATATGAACTTTAGAGAACATACACTTCCAAAAATAAATGTGTTAAATCTGATTTTTATATACTTAAAATATCTGTACATAGGTTTTCATGTGAGATCGCTACTTTGTAAAAAATTCAACTCAACCCTTTTGTTACGATAGCTAAATTTACCCTATTTTCTCAGCTTTTTCATTGCACAGTATATTCAGAGCTGTTTTGTAATATAATTTAATATGATTTGATTGCAACACATTGCAATGTTCAGTTTCTCACACAATAAAAGAATCACTCAGTTACCTTTTCAATGGACTATACTCTACCATCAAAGAAAACAAACTGAAAAACAGTAACATAGCATCATCATCATGCAAAATACCCTTGGAAACCAACGTTCAAATATCACAAAGACATCTTTTATTCACAAGCTTTTTTGTTTGAGCCTTTGAAGGATTTGACTAGCTTTATATATAACTGTATTGTGAAAAGGAGGTGAATATTACAATGAAATTAAGTTTTTTCTGACAGAAGATGACACCAAGTTTAAGATGAGAATCACTTTTTCGTTAAACTCTCAAGCATCTTTACATTTTTAAAAACAGAAGTTTATCTCCTTCCTTCCTTCTTTCCCTCCTTCCTTTAAACTAACAATTTACCAACCTACCAAAACTTAGCTGGCTAAATGATTCATTTTGGAAGAATAAATTACTCATCATAAAGCCTTCCAATCATGGTGAACTTCTGATGAAGATTAGCCAATATTTTCATTTTATTCAACTAGTTTGGACAAAAGTGATGTTCAAAGCAGACATCGTGGTGCTAGTAGTGTGTATTGGGGAGTACATTTTCTTTTTTCTTTCTTTTTTTCTTTTTTCTTTTTTAAATAACAGTTCATGTAAAAGAATATAAATCTTCAAGATATCCAAAGCTTAAAAGAAATGAAAGTCATATACATAAGCTATTGTCAGGGGAGCCCTTTTACATGAAGTCATCAAGATTACAACAACAAACAAACAAAAAAAAATAATCTTAGATTCCCCAATGGAGCACGTACAGAATTCTGTTTGGATGGCATAGATGATGCAGCATTCACACACGTTTAAGTATTCAACACTCCAACATGCAGCCACCGTGGGTGCCTTTATGAGTCTCACAACGAGTGATAACCAGACACGAGCACTGCTCTTCTGCTGCTGTCTGAGTAGCTGACCCTTTTTAAAATGAAACTGAGGCTATCGTTTTGGCCGGGTCTTGATTAAGTTACGCAGGTTTTGGTTTAGCAAGGTCATAACTGGCAGTGTCTGCTGCCAGATAACAGCCAAAGCAGGACCAACTGAATTCCTACCATAGACCACAGTGATGGACTCAGACCAGAGACACCACCGCAGTCAGCCGAATCTTCCTGTTGACAAGAAAAGAAGAAATCATTTAACAACAATTGCAATTAAACTTCCTGAGAAGTAATCTACATTTTAGTCTTCAAGTTTTTGAACTAGCCTTGAGGCATCCTTTTTGGTCTTATATATGTCATTTTTCCTAAAATAACAGCAAAATAATTCCTGGATGTTTGTCTGATTTTTGATACAAAAAGTGGTATTACTACATTAACTATAATCATGGGAGGATTGAATACTCACAAGGCTTACTGCAGTCACTTCTGAACTAGATGGGATACTTAAACAATCAAACAAGAAATGCTACGGGATATACCTGGGGGCCCCAGTAAGCCACATATTCCTTAAAAATACACCATTTTGGAGATATTAAGTACCAATTTATTGCAAGGAAAGATGGAAGAACAGATAACTTGTATCCCACTTGTATCCCTGTTTCCCAATTTTTCATCTTCTTTTTCATTTTAAATAGGCATCAGATACTTCTTCTATTACTATTACTATTTAAGATTAGAAAACAAATACCAGAATATGTTCACGTCCATTTCATCAACATGATCACACATTAAAAGGAATATGCTCTGTAGGTGAAGATATGATGAAAGAGAATGAAAACCCTTTCTCTGTCTCTGATGCTGAATTCAAGTATGAGAACTGAATTTTCTGTTGGCTTTTTGCACATGTTTGATGCAATCTGTAGAGAAGACACCTTCCAGTTTGTGGGCTCACCCTGAGCTGCACCGCTCTGTCACACATCAGTGGACCTAACTTCATTATGCCAGACAGCAATCCCACCTCTTTTCCCAATTCCTCTTTACCATTAACTGCTCTTATTTAGTCCCACTTTGCCTATAAGGCATAACAGCTTTCACATTATGGGCTTACACATTAGTCTGGCTGAAATACATTTGATACCTGTTCTGGAGTCTGTAATATCTTTACACCTTCTTGTTTCTCAGAACTGATACAATCTATGTTTAGCTGCCTAAAACACCAGGACAATGTTCCAGCCATCCCCTGCACTGCTCTGCCCACCGAGTCTGAGATTCACGGGCAGCTCTGAAGGCTGAAAATAGTTGGTCTTCCTCTTGTTTTCAGACTACCAGTCTGTACGCGTAGTATAAAAAGACACTTTCCATTTTTCATGAGTGTCTGAGCCTCCAAGGACAAGTCAGCAGTGTAGGTGGGAAGTGACTTAGGTGTATTAGGAACTGCGGCAACTTCTTGAACAGGAGGAACATATGCAGGGAAGGACAGGCTGCACCTTAACAGTAACAAAGCCCGACTGCTGGCACAGAAATTAAAAAGGTTTCAGAACAGAAAGCAGAGGAAAGCCAATAAGCATGGAGCAGCTTCTGGTTCAGACTGGCATGCCACTGAGGCGTATGTTACTAATATTTAATGTGCCTCAGAAAAGGTTGTGGGATTTCAGGATAAAAAGTACAATCAGGATAAATAAAAAAAGGCTCAGTAAAACACCTTTCATTTATTGTCCTATCCTTAAGCAAAACTTTCAAGTGCTGCTACATCAATGCTAGGAACATAAAATTACAATGGGACAATGAATAAAAGTCATCAATGAACCATTTCAAAATAATACACGTCAGCAACCTGGTGGAAGGACAATAATCAGCAGGACAGAGCATTGTCAGGCTACCAACTTTGTAAGAACAGCAGACTAAGACATACAGCAGAAGGGTAGTATGTAAAGGATAATACGAAGTGTAATAGCATAAAGTTATTACAGGAAAAGGAAAGTATGGTGTAATCTCCATGGTAAGAAATTTCAGTCTAATAATAAAAATGTAACACTAGTATTGCACTGTTGACCACCTGATCAAGGTGACAATATCAATTATGAAATGTTATGCGAGATTAGAGAAGCCACATAGAGACTGGATCAATGTCTTATCAAAATGAGATGTAGAGATCACATTTTTGAATATGACAAATGACCGCCTTTTGGGACAGTCTTTGATGCTTGGGGCCGTCTTCAAAATTGTTAGTAGAGATCTGCTCTGTATAGCTCTAGTAGCTCCGTAGACAACAATGTAATAGGATTTAGCATTGTTGTGTGAGAGACCAAAACAAAAGATAGCAATTTCAAGAAAGGAAAATTACCAAAAGCAGTTAAAAAAAAAACAACCCACCCCAAACCCAAGAAAACAGGAAAAAAATCCTTAACAAAAATAAAATAATAAAAAAAGCACAAAACCCCCATGAAGCATAATCTCAAAAACTAAGTCCCTCACGAGCATCCAGAAAAAAATATTTAAAAATACTGCATCAGATATCCAGGTAAAATGAATGCCACAGTTAGAACAACCAGCCTCCCACACCCCCCCTCCCCCAGAAACCCAAGCTCAAAACAAATGAAAACACACCAGCACCCCTCCCCCCCAAAAAAAAATAAACAAACCCCAAACCCCAAAGAAACACCCCTGCGTGAATCAGTAGGAAAATCGAGTAAGCTTTCCTAGGGAAAAGGTCAGTATTTAAGCAATCAAGCTTACTCAAATGAGCAAGAATAGGAAAGCACATAAAAATGGCAGATTAGATATAAACAGGAAATTAGAAGGGCTGATAAAGAATTTTTAATGACCTCCTTGCAAACCATGCTGAAAATGATAGTAGAAAGTTTTGAATAAATCAAAATCACAAAGCCAAATACGGAGTTAGGGCAACTGCTTGATAACATAGGTGTAAAGAGGGAACTTGGGGATTACAGGGCACAGCGAACAACGTCAATGAGCTCTTTGTGCCAGTTTTAAGGGGTGAAGACTTTAATAAGATCCCAGTACATACAAAGTATCCTCTTAGGCAGAGAGGTCCGATGAATCAGAATCAGTTTGGAATAAATATATGGGAAATCAGATGAAGCAAACACATTAGACTCAATACATCATCCGGTATTACAGCATTCACCAGTCTCCTTTAGAAACTTGGATGTGAAAAAAAAAACAAAAACAAAACAAAACCCAGCATTTAAGTTCTTCAGGAAAAAAAAAAAAAAAAAAAAGAAGAAAAAAGTTTTCATTCTATCCTAAAGCAAATAGCTCACGTTAGCTGCCATTCTTTAGCAGTAGTAGCCATTTCCAGACATATCTCTGTCATCTGTTAGCTTTATAATTTCGTTCTATAATTTTGGCTTTGTTTTTTGGTTTGTTTGGTTTTTTTTTTTTGTGTGTGCTTTTTTTTTGTTTTGTTTTATTTAATTGATTGCACTCTACAAGTTCAAAATTCCTAAGGTTTCCGGTTAACCAGTAAGTGATAAGTGAACTCTGCTGTGCCAGATTTGGAGTAGGATGCGAAGATTTGAAGATGCACTGAACTTTCTGCTTTATTTAGTTTGGCTCTGTCACTTTTTGCATCTGCATTGTGTCTTGTCATGTAGCTATATTTCTATTCAAAGCACCTAAAAATAACTCTGTTGCTTCTTCCCCACAATAAGTACCATCAGAAACAGAATTATCAGTAAAGGTTTCTTCTCACGTTAATTCAATGAACAGTACTCAGTGTTACCTCTTGGTATTTAAGATTCTTATCACTGAGATTACTTAGAAGAGTAATCTTTGAAGAAACAGCCTAAAGTAAAGCATGAGGTTTAAAATTTTCCAATAGAGGGGAGATGTCTGGAAAGTAAGTAAGAAGGTCTTAAACAAAATTGTGCATAATAAGAAGGGGCAAATATCATTATAGTGAAAATGGCGTCCAGTATGGATGCAGAGCAGGTGGACCTCCACAGATAGAATTATACAGTACTCAGCTTTTATGTCACCTCTGCATTAGACCAAATATTGGGTAAATTATGTTGATGAATTAATCCCACAACTATACGCACTTGAAAAAGAAACTCCATTCTGTTGCCCATTTCAATTTGCTTTTTGAGTTTTTTTTTATTTTAAACTACATCACAATTTATGGGCACTGCTTTTACATTCAACAGTTAGACTATGTAATATTCCTACTGGACTGAAAAGAAATGTTTTGATATCTATTGCTCACTCTCTAAGACTACACAGAGCAGTTTTTAAAAAGATTCACAGCTTCACAACAGTGGAGAATGTCTTGGAAACTTCATGCAGGAGAGGCATCTTCTTATTATGAATGACAGAGTTAAGCTGTACTAGACAAAAGTATACAAGGTTTATACACATATTTCAAGGTTGGTAAGATCTTAACCTCATATTGATCAAAGTTACATTGAATTTCTGAGGTCTGTAGATTATTTGCAGTGGTAAACCAGCAGTTCTGCCAAGAACAATTTCTAAGTATTCTTTCTGGAATCAGTTATTCATTTGTGTCCTAAGCCAAGATAAAAATAGTAGTGGCAAAGAAGGTACAGTAAATCCTATATAAATTACTTTTTCCTCCGCAGCATTGCACATTGTAATTTTCTTGTGTGCTTTAACTGTTGTGAGAATTACAAGAAGTGTAACAAAAAGAAAAAAGGAGGATAAAGTCTGATTACATGCTGATTTACATAAATTTAAAGAATCAACAATTTAATGGAAATGAGTGGGATCCCATTACTAATTTGTAACCAGATTGAGCTAAACGTCAGTTTTGAATGGTCTTCAAAATGTCTTTTTTTGAAAACACTTCCCCCATGCCTGAGCTTTAAGAAAACTTCTCAGCTGTTTCCTGTAAATGTTATTTTTGAGATTTCTTATAAAATTTCTTATAACAAATTACATAGCAACATTTTGTCTTATCTTTACCTTATCATCTCTTTACCTCCACCCAGACATTTAGACACTGAACTATTTTTAAGCAGTTTCACTGAAATTTTCCCACCTGTTACATTAGTCACTATTGTATTAGTCACACAGAAAACCTGAATAACCAACAGATCAGTTGGGGATGTCCTCTCTTTGTTGTTTTCAAAATAATATTCTGTATATTATTTCTCTTTGAAGACATAAAAAATAGGAAAAAAATTGGGAAGAATCCTATTTAGCCAGTTTCATTTCATCAGAAGTGTATCAGAAATTTCTTGCATTAATAAGTCACGTGTCAAATTTCCTTGCATGCTTGAGGTAGAGAAGTGCCAAATTCAAATGTCATCTCCTGCATGTCATGCCTTACTATGATAACTCTAGAGAGGGTTATTTTACAACATCACACACTGTGAAAATTAATCAGCACTTGCAGAATGGAAACGAATGCTTTTATAAAACCATATATTCACTGTTAGGTATCAAACCCACATATTCATTGCTATATATCAACATTTCCTTGAAGGCAGCGCAGGTCCAGAATTTTAAAGACACACAAGGAAATATAAACACAAATATATACACATATACATGTCTAAGTCTATAAACATACTTGTTACTCCTTTAGAAGTACACTATAACTATTTAATGTACTAAAACTGTCTTGAAGCCTAATTCATTTATCAGAACCCATTGTGCTACACTGACTATAAAAAGGATAAAACAACAATATCTGCCAAAAAGCTTCTGATCTGACCTCTGATATCATCCAGTTACCTCAAAGTTATACATTTTATAAGCATATGTTTTAAATGCATCATATTGCATGGTGAAGACCTTTGCTTTTACTCAAGAGTCATTTGAAGTCCCAGTGTATGGTCTTTCATAAATGTTGTGTTACTCTCCTTTGTCTGGACTACTACACAAAGCTGTGAAAATTGTACAGCTGCCCACACATAGATCAGGGATACAGCCAGTCCCAGCAAGATGTATACAGTTGTCTGGGCTGCTAATAACCCTCCAAGCTCTCAACGATGTCCCTGGGATCTGGTGGAAATAAGACATTCCCAGAAGGGACTAAAAACCTGTAGAGCTCTTCTCTTTATTCTTGGGCATGGCAAACAAAACCAGTGTGCACATACAAAGTAAGAGCAAGCTATTCAAGGGGGTGATAAAGACTATGTTGTTATCCCTGATTAAAAAAAAAAAAAAAAAAAAAAAAAACCTGCCATTACAGAACATGATCGGCTGGTTTATATCTGTGTTGGCTTCAGTGATTTTAATAAAACTACACAGATTAATGTCCAGTGAGAACCCATTTCTAAAAGCACAAAGTTATTACAAACAGGATGGATGAACAAAATTACCTGTATAACTTTCTGCTGCCAAAAGTCTATCAGCTAAAATTATATTCCGTTGGTTTTCCAGTATTTTGGTTTGCCTCCTTGAGCAGAAAGACCATTTTGGACATAAAGAATTCAGCTCAAGGTGAGTCTCTGCTGCTCTGTCTACATTGGACAGTAGCTTTTTAATTAAAATAAGGTTACTTGCAGAGCAAGTTGAATGAGTAAGAACATGAGATGCTAATCTTCTAGATTTTAATGTGAAATACAACTGGCTAAGGGTAAGGGACTTTCAACCTTGCTCACAACCTTCAGCCATGGCTGTGCAGGTTCCTAGGTTTGCTAGAAATTAGATCATTTAAATACAGAATTGGAATTTTCAAAATTACTCAAATACAGCTGTTAAACAGGAATTTAAGGTTTTTTGTTTTTTTCGGGTTTTTTTTAAACTGATGTTCGAGTGATATTAAGTGAACCTTCCCCCAAGTATAAAGAGAACATAAATTGTTGAGAAAAAAACCTATTCTAAATGGTTGCAATTTTAAATATTTTACTAAACTAACTCTGAAAAATGACCTCTAAGGTTCGATTTCTGCCTCGCAGTTGGCTGTACTTTGATAGATATGTTAGTATCTCCCTCTAGTGGTTTTCTGAGTGATAATATTGATCAGAAACCCCTCCAGTGTACAAGGTCATGAATTTTATTCTCATTAGATGGGCAGCTCTCTTGAAAACATGTCACTAGACAGTAGTGCACACTCTCACACTATTAAATGCAACAGTCTAAAGTGCCAAGGCTTTCATTATGAACCCGAGTCTGCACTACGTCAACCTGCAGGACTTCATGTATCCATGTAATGAATTAGAAGAAAAAAAACCTACCTTCTGCTGTAATACTGCAATTAATATGTTCAGGTTGCAAAAAGTAAAAATATGACTTTACTGAATTAATTGTTTAACCAAATTGATGCACACTATTACCTTCCACCATTAACATTTGCGGAACATGAATGCAGTGAAAACTCCTGCCATTATTCTTACACAGAGGACTCATCTTTGCTATCCCTATGTACAGCTTTCTTTTCACGGGTATTATAGTCTCTTCTAATTACTTCATAACTTTGTCTCTGTGCAGAAAACTTTCTTCTTCTGTTTCATTTCAACAAGGACAAGGGAAAAATGTTTTGAAGGGAGTGACTCAATTACTACAAGTGCAATCTCAAAAGTGCCAATCATATAAACCCAACAGGTTCCCGTATCTTTGTATTTGCTATAGGAGAGTCCCTTATGTTCTGTTATTCTGATTTATAAGGCTCCAGACAGGGTTTTTTCATATTTAATTTCCCTTAATATTGCAAGAATAATTTGCTCCAGACTGTTGCTTTTGGGGCTCACTTCATTCTGTTTTCTTTTGTATGCTTAGTAAGTAAAAAAGTCTGCTAATTTTTTAAGCCAAGAACAAAACAAAAAATTAGAGAAAGTAACTGACCATCCACACCACATGAAAACTTGCAGAAAAATGAAGATAGGAGCGGACGTCATGGCAGAGGCACGACTCGTTGTGCATATAGGCTGATCCTATTAATAACGGGCAAAGTAGCAAGTAGAGGAAAGGAAAGAAAACACAGAAAAAAAGACATACAAGATGAGATATCATGCAGATTGCTGGCAGTTAGCAGAGTTAATGTGAAAGCATCCACCCAAGAGCAAGAGATTCACAGCAAATTTTGCAAATAAACTTAACCAAAACAATCCACTGTTACAAAACACATGACTTACACACTGATTAGCACATCAAGCTAGTGAGCAAGAGTTGTACTTTCACACACAATCGTATCAGGAGGATTTGGGATATTTACTATGGCCAAATGGCTTTTGGATGATTTTTCAACTTTGTTTAACCTTTGTTGGCCAGTAAGAAGATTTCCTTTTTAAAGTACCATTTGGTTACTAGAAAAATGCATTGAATACCAACTGTCTGGACTTTCATGCTACAGACATGTCACCAATTGTGAAAGAAAATCACAGAATATACTGGATTAAAACCCAGTATACAGCAGTTATAGCCAATTAACTGCACTAGTTTTGGACAATCTTTCATTTGCAGAAATGGTCTAAAGCATTAGAAATGCATTTTAAAAATATTTGTGTTATATAATGGCAGGTACTTCCCTGTTCAGTACTTTTTGCCTTGAAATTTATTTTGAATAATTTGACTTCAACATGTTGCCTTTCATACAGTATTTCAAAAGGTAACACAGAGATTATATTAAAAGTAAATTATATATGTGGCACAGTTATAACTTTTCTCCTTCAAAACTTTGATGTATACAATACAAACACCATAGTTTTGCTGATTTGAGTAAAGCAATGCAGTTTATAACTGTTAAGAATGTGACCTATTTGCAGAATTTCTAAGAGGAACAACATCCTAAACCAGATAAAATGTTTTTAATTGTTTAACAACATCTTAAATAATATTCAGAAACACTGATATAAAAATACTACTTCTAAGACAAGATTGTCATCTAGTTGTGAAAGCCATTGAAGAGCTGAATTTGACAGCACTGTACAGACACCATCAGTTTTACTCTCACTGTTGGCTTTTTTTTTAGTGAGAATCATGTGTGAAAGTGCAATGGTTATAGGAAAGGCAGATAAGAAAGCAGCTGTTATTTTATGTTAATCATGGGAAACTTGAAATAGAGTGGCTATGGTCTAGAATGAACAGTATGTTTAGTGATAGATAGGTTACTAGGCACCAAGGTACATTTAAACATAGTTTTCACTGCTCTTTTAAAACAGGTCTACAATTGTGTTTAAAGGTAGTCCTAAAGTCTTACAAGTTCAGTTTTACCTGTTTGGCTTCATCAAAGCAAACATCAGGACCTTTTCTGTATCTCGGTTGTTTGACCATTTCACAAGGATTTGGCCCTTCATCTGTTTCTCTGGTTAAGGACCGTGACTGTTTTTCATGCATTGTACATTAGCAAGATTAACATTCGTTTTTTTCTTTTGTGGGAGAATCGAAGTTTTATGCTAATCCAGATAGTATCGAAATAAACAACAATAGTCTCAGTTCCTTGTTTAAACTAAAGAAAACCAAACCAAACCAACCCTCCAGATACATCAAAATCAAATAACCTTTTTTTACTCTGCTTTAATCAAGAAATAAATATCCTGTATGAATTTTTTGAACCAGTGCTTCCAGAACCATACACAAAATAAATATAAAAGCTGAGTTTAAGATTTTCTGTATTGCTTTTATTACCATCACACAAATATTACAGAAAATATTTGATAAAATAGTATACTTTCATTTGTACTTATTTGTTATAGTGTATGTTACCATTGAGTTATTCTGCTAAAATAAAGCTACACAGCAAAAGTGAGGAAGCCTGTTTGGAAAAGTAATTTTATATACAGACTGAATATTGCAGTGAAGGCCTATAAGAAATACTGGTTTTATTATGTGTACACCTATATTATCCCAAATATCATAGACAAGATCATCCCATTGTGGGCTTTGATAGTAAATGATAGAAACCCTAATCAGACCTCATTTGCATTCAGAGATAAAGGGAGACAGAGAAAATGCTGTCCAAACTAATAACAGAACAGCAGGATAGAAACAGGAGCAGTGACATGCTATTAATTAGGTAAATGTAAACATGAAGTAATGTTTTAGCTTACATCTCTGAGATCTGTAATTGCTGATGTTTAAGTGTAAATACTATACTTCACATTTGCCACAGGCTAACAAGGGACACAAGCCATTGCAGCATACTTGAAAGGCACAGATATGACAAACTGCAAAACCACCTTCTGTTGAAACCTGCTTATATTACCATTCAGTATGTTAAGCTTTTTTTTATTTCACTGTTGGTATTACACACACTAAAGCTAAGATAGGGTGCTTTATAAAAAATAAGCACTAAAACTTTACTTATCTTAGCAGTTCTAACTTATCCCCGAAGCAATCCCGTTCCTGAACTACTGCGGAGCACTGCAGCAGCCTCATCACAATGAGTGGAGATGCCCAATGGAAGAGAAAGCAAGAGGACAGGGAACTTACTTCTACAGATCTACATCTGTCTTCATTCAGATGTTATCAGACTCACCTCCCCTTTCCTCTGCCGGGGCCCAGCTGAAAGGGAAGTCGAAACATAGAAATATTCTAAAAGACCACGTGCACAAGCAAAACTATACCAGGCAGAAGGAAGCAGAGTCTAATAATAACCATCTGAATAGCACCCAAAGGTCATTCTGTCTGCTTGTGTGATGTTATGCTACATCTGCATTTCACAATGCACCTCAGTTATAGAAAAGGGAGAATAGCTTAGTACTGCATAGATGGAAGAAAAATAAAATAGTTCATTTAGTCAATATAAGCCCACCCAGCTGCCCTGGCTGCCATATGAGGTCATTTACTGTTTTCTAGAAGGTTTGGGCTCCACCAGGAAATGCAGTTCATGTGCCCATTTCCCATCAAACGTGCCTCATTTTCTATAGCAAGTGCCATCTTTAAAATCAGACAGTGGCAACAGTTAATCAAACTGTCATGGGCTGCAGCCAATTAGAATATTAGGCTGTGTTTACATAGTTCTATGACGACATGAGTATTGCTTCCACCCCAATGTAACTTCATTTTCAGCCCAAACGTAGGTAGAATTCCAGTTTTGTTAATGTGGCAATGAACGCATTGCTTGTGCCAAAGAAACACAGTCATCTCTACCACCATCTACTTTTCTTTCAGGAATGGGAGAGGCTGTCTCAACTAACTTCCTGACATGGACAAAAGTACTACTAATCGTTTTCCATATTCTGTCATAATAATCTAGTTTATCATTTGATTTATCATCTCTGGCATGCTATCCTCAAGCATATATAGCAGAGAAAAATTGAGGTGAATTTCTCCTGGCCTAGAAAATGTGTATGTTTGTTTTATGCATTTCCATCACAATCACCTACAGGTATCTACTGGAGTGACCAGGCTAGGGGCATAGAGATTGGCATGAAGGTGATTGCAAATTAGAATAACCTTTCACATGCTGTTAATTTTAATGCATGTATTGCAAGGACTCTGCATTCTATGTTAGGAGCTGGATAAGCTCTAACCTTTGATGGTTAAAGCAGTTTCCACAAGAAACAAGCAGTTCTCATTGGCACTGAGCACACACTAAAGCGCCTCCATCACTTCACCTCAGTGTGGCAGGCATCAGGGCAGCATCCCAACTTTCCATGACCAAACACTCTTATCTTGGTGTTGCCCTTTTTTGTTATTTCTCTAGACAGACATACCCTTGTCTTTTCTAAAGGCTCAACACTCCCAGGACTCTCAGGCTCCCCTTGCCTGTCCTGTGCTCCAGATGCCAACCACCTTGGTGGCCCTTCACTGGACTTCCTTCATCATGTCATTGTGGTACTGGGGAGCCCCAAACTGTACACAGGACTCCAGGTGCGGTCTCACCAATGCTGAAGAGATGGGATGGATCAATTCTCCCAACCTGCTGACTACACGCCTGCTAACATAGCCCAGGAAGTGACTGGCACTCTTTATTGCATGACACAGTGCCAACTGATGTTCAACTTCTTGTCCATCATGATCCTCAAGTCCTTTTCTGGAAAGCTGTTTCTAGTCACTCCATCCCCAGCCTGTCCAGCTGTATGTAATTTCTCTGTCCTGGATCCAAGACTTTGCATCCGTCTTTTGGAAACTTTGTTAAGTTCCTGTGAGCCCATTTCTGTTTAGGTCCTCACAAATCACAGCTTTGCTCTCTACCTCAATGACTGCTGCCTCAGATCATTTGTGACACAAATATCTGCTGTTTCCAGTACTCCAATGGCAACCATGCTACCAACATGTGCATAAACAGGTAATTTTTTTCCAAATATATTCCAGTATATCGTAGCCAAAAATCAATCCACACTACTAAATAATGTGATTTTAAAGGATACCCGGCTTCTCCGCTTGCATCAGTGGCTTTGGGTCACAGGAGCGGCACAGCAGTTGGCTGTCACTAATGATGAATACTAGATTGGTGTTTGAAATCTTCTCTGCATGATAAAGTCTGGAAAAAAAGCCAACAAAAGCCTATGTTTAAATGAAGCAAGGAAATCCGTATTTGAGAAGGGCACACAGTATTGGAATAAAAGTAAACTAATTCCACAGATTCAGTCTGTCTGCTACTGTTTATCTTTTCCATTAACATAGAGCAAGAATCATTCATAACAAATTTTGTAATCTTTTCGACGTTTCTATGGTTCCCCCTTTCAACTAGACTTAGTAGTGGAAAAAATGGGAAAGAGCATAAAATGACTTTAATTGAGTTAATATCTAGCTCTGTAGTGCAACAACAGTAGCTGTACTGAGAAATAAAATCAGTTCAGCCTGGATTCTTCCCCTAATTGCACTGAGAAACCCCCCATTCACAAAAACAAATAAGCAAACAAAACCTCAACACATAAATATAAACCTGTCTGTAAGAAGGGAGAGAAAGAGGTTTAGGGCATGTATGCTGTGTATCGAATGAGTATTTGTTGTATTTTTATGTACATATAATTCCACAAAACACCTTTAAGTTAGTAGGGAAAACAGAGAAAAAAACCTTAATATTTATTAGTCTTTAATAAATATATTCTACCTGCCAAAGAGAGGTAAATTCAGGACAGTCTAACAACTTAATTGCTTTTAGTGGATTCTAAATATATTTTCACACACATATAAAACAACAGGCAAGTTTTTTCATCTAGGTGGCTACCATTCTATATAAGCAGAATTTTATTACTTAGGTGTGAATTGAACAGATTATTTCTGAAATTTCACAGATGATGAGTTTGTACCACTGACTGGGTACAATAAGAAGACAAGATACCTGTTAATTAAATAACTGATATTGTGATTACATAGCTAGTTGTTTTAAGCATCTTAGATTGTCCTTTCATACTCATTCCCACACTGTGGCAATATTTTTGCAATATTAGCATAATAATTTCTGTAGTCTTTCAGTAAACTGAACTAAAGAACTCTTCTGAAAACCCACAACCAAAAAACCCTACAAAAACCAAAACCAAACCCCAAAACCCCAGCTTAATGAGTTCTCTGCACAACCAGGTACCACAAAAACACATACTAGCAACATGGAGGAAACTGTGGAAGTGGGAAAAAATGTCTGGGTGTTTTGGCAGTATTCACCACTCTCCAATGTCCTCTGTCTTTTTTTCCTGGCTTCAAATATTGTCTTCAAGGAGTTTAAAATCTGGCTGTTAATTTTAATTTCTAAGATATTTTCAGATACTCCTAACATATGGAAACTTTCAACCCAGCAGGCTTTTGTATGAAACGCAGTATTGAGTCCAAGCTGTTATGCTTCTGAAGTGTCCCATTTTTTTAACATAACATTAAACATCATCTTGAACAGGGACATGGTGCCTGAAGAGTAATTCTTTTAATCACAAAACAAAACAGCATGGTTTGCTTTATAAGACCCACAGCTCTTAAATCATGAGCCCTATGGACTAGAAGGTAAATTTGAAGATAAATTGCATAATGTCTTGGTCATAAAAAATTCTAATACATAAACAGATTGAAGAAAATAATCTTCTGAATACTGCAGAATGCTTTTAAGTTCACACAATAAATTAAAAGAAAATAATTTGTAACAGATAGAAATACAGTGTTGATGGAGCATATACAGACTATAAACCAAAAACTTGATTAAGGTATTTCTATAATTCTTCAATTATTACAGTTAAAATTAATTCTGAACAAATACAAAGAAAGTAAAATTTATCATTTTACTGCCTATATACTTCTTTGTCTTCCTTAAGTAAGTTTGGTATAATTAATTTAAAATGTATTTTTTGTTCTTATAATAGCGTCAATATGTTTTGTAAAATAAACGAATATCCAAAAGTTATTATTTTTATTGAAGAAAATTTACCTGGAGCAGTTTATACAGTCTACAATCCCACTGAAAGATTTATCATCGTTTTCAAAGAAATACTGAGTTTGCTCAGTGATACAGCTTGTTTTAGGTAGGGCAGCACCGAAATCATCATCTTCCATGTCAGCTGATAGAAAGAAGAAAATAAATAAATAAATAATGACATTTTTAAGTCACAGGTGCAATGGGGAGATCCAAATATGGCCCCCAGCCTAGATTCTTACCTTCTACTTCACTCAAAGTTGACTCTTTAACATTCTCTGGACTTACCTGCCTCAAGGAAACGTGGAAAAGTCAAGCTCAAAAACAGCTGCTGTAAGATAGACCTGAACATAGAAAGACAATACACATTTGTTAAAGGATTTTCTGCCATCTTTGTGTTTTACACAAAGTGTGTTTGTCCTTAAAAATTACTCAAATAAGAATAACTAACAACAGAATCATCATGGCTAATTATGCTTTTGCCAATTATTAAAGTTTTGTTTCTTTAAACCTTAGCATTTGACTCTGGTTTTCTTTCCACATGTTCTCCCAGGTCTTCTTTCACACTAATCTTTTATTCTATTGTTGCGATTTTCTACCATTTGTGCCCATAAGTCACATAATGAAAATGTTATTATGCCATCCATGTCCTCCTTTTACACCTTTGGGGAAGGTGGAAGAGGCATGTTGGCATCCCTCTAACACTTAAACTAACCAGAACTCCTTTCAAACACACTCAGGAAAAATGCTCCTGAATTAGATGCTTTATACTGATTAAGGCTCATAAAATTGCTGAGAAGGAGATGAACACTGGAATATTACAAGTATATTATAAAAATCATTACTGTAGCTGTTGACTTTTAAAACCGTCTCTATTCCTGCTCTTGAGATAGAGAATATATTTTCCTCCTAGATGCTGCCAAACACTTAAGCTTGAAGAGCTCCGTTTATTTAAAATTAGATTTCTTCACTCACGATCATGTTTTTCCTATTTTATTTACTTGAAGCAAGTACCGGCTTGCCACATACACAGCCCCCTTTTCCTCCACCAACCTGTCAAAACAGGAATCTCAGCAGTTAAGTTCCCTGACTCCCTGCTTATGCTTAAACTTTCTTAAGTTGTAGTTTCCTGTCATCACGTTTTTGGTTTGCTTCTGCCTACAAATATGACCTGATCTCTCCTCACTGCATTCTGCCCTAATGTTTGTTCTGCAGAGAGAAGAGACTGTATAACTTTATTCACCATCCAATATTTTTTCTCCTCATCCAGCGTGATCCGTGTGTAAAGAAACTGAGTCTGCCTGTCACCTTTCCCATGGAGGCATTGCCTGAAGGAGCTCTGGATTCACATCCACAGCTTTGTGCCTTGAATGATCAGATGGACAGTGCACCAGACATTATGGATGAGAAGGGACCTGATGACATTTAACAGTGACACGATTTGCTGACAGAAAATAGTAATCCTTCCTGAGGACCTGACAGATTTTATAGGCAATTGAGTGAAAAAGGCAGCCTGGGACAACTGTAAAATCTTCTGAGTTAAAAGGCCTTAAAGGAGAAATGATACATACTCTCTTAACTCAATGCTAATGCATCCCATATACATTTTGAATATTATCACTCACACCTTTATCCTATATTGTTGCCTGAAACAGTATAGCTTTCTTTAATAACCTGGTTTCTCTTACTTCTCTGCATTTGCTTTTGCCAGGTGTCTCACTGAATCCGTATTTGGTCAGCCCTTTTCACTCCGCTTGCTTAATGGCCTTCTCTGCCTGCTTCTGACCTAGATTCCATTAAAAACATGTCCATAGAAAGTACTTTCATGTAGTGCTTTCAAGTTAAACATCACACAAAATAAACCTCAGGTCTAAATTGAGTCCAGACCACCGAGCCTGATTTGAACACTGATAAACTGAAGTTTCTATGCTTGAGAAGAGCTCAAGTTTCTCTTCTGGATTATTGCCCATCTCCAGTTTTTGAGGTTTGCTGTTGTCCAAGAAAACCAAGATTTTTGCTGTTGCTGTTAACAAAATGTAACCAACAACAAAAACCAACATACAATCTGCATAGTGCTATCCGTGAGAAAATTACTGTATGTTTGTTCAGCTGCTATATATTTTAACTCTTAGCTTCATAAAGTAGGTAATTTATTCCAACTTGGTAATTATTATATAAAATAAGTGTCATGAAACTTTAGAAAAAGGAACAGACAGTCTCGAAGGGTGCAATTCACACCAATGCAAAAGTATCACATCAGACCCAATTACTTCTCCCAACTTGGTGCTGGGGTAAGTAGCTGGTAAGGATGTCTATCTACATGGGTCTAAAATAGGTAAAATTATTTCTGTGGCTATTAAAAATAATGCACAAACCAAAGTCAAACGAAAAGCAAGCTCCTAAATGTCTCTTTAGTTTTAAAATATATGCAGTATTGTGATTGTGAAAGATAAGTCTAATTACTGGTGCAACCCTGCCTCTCTCAAGGTCAATCCCAAAACTCCGCAACAGTCCAAATATAGCAACTTTACCCTTTCAGCTAGAAAATGCTGACTATACATAACTGTAGACTCATCCAAAATGCTTTATATGTATTTGCTTCATTGAAATAGTTCAGCAGTGCCTTCCACATTCCATTTCAAAAAACCAACTAGTAATTATCGTGAGAATCTTTAACTGAACTGTGCCATCAGATAACATAGGGGTTTTCCTGCAGTCTGAAGCAAAACTTCTTTACATTTTGTAATAGAGAAGCTTCATGTGTTTTTGTAAGATGATTCACTGAAAAGCAAAGATTGATTTTCTTAAGACTTCTTGCTAGAAAAAGGGAAAGAAGATATTCTGAAACAGAGAACCAAGTGACCAATAATTCTAAATGTAATAACTTCATCTGAACCTTCACACCTGCCTATCAGAGTTAGACCATCAATCCCAACTCTACTTCCTGAAGCTGATCTTGCGGAGTCAGAACACACAATCACAAAACCTGGACAGAGTAGTTTTGAACTCAACTGTTGACAGAACACTGAATTTTCCAAGGAGTTTGGAGACATAGCTAAGAATTTTCACCATGAGAAACTGCAAAAACAAAGGGTTCAGAGCAGTTTCAGGAGTGGGGAGAGAGTAACACAGTCTCAACCTACTGAATAATTAATTCTAGTTTGGACATACAGATTTCTGAAAGACTTGCACTTACCAGGCAGCTGCCGAAGCCCACCATCCTAGATGCAAAATATCTGTTATTGTAGGCTGGGAAAAAGGAAGAGAGATTATACTATTTGTATAAACACCTGCACACTTTTAAGGGAATGTCAATCACCTCACAAGGGGCTACTGACCACATAAGCAGATCGAAGTCCAGCTCCTTGCTTTGGTTCTTCTTCAGGATCGCAGACCGACTGATAGTCGTACGACTTGTTAAAGGCATACAGGGACATGTTAATCAGGTTTCGCATCAGGCCAGGATCAATTTCACCAAAGAATCTTCCAATCTGATGAGGAAGAATATATGGAAATAAGTTAAAGTATTTCCAAGTATTTTTCTCATAAAAAAGTGAACAATTCTGACTTTTTTCCCCCCACTATTTTTTCCTCTACACAACTCATCAGGTCATACTGCTTATGTATTTATTTCTTTCTTTGACTATTTCTCTCCCAAAAGCTTGGGTCCAACCAACTCCAGTTAGACAGTAATTGTTAAATGTATTACCAATGAGACCACCCTGCTTGGGGAAGAACCCAAGGAATATGAGAAAGAAGGTGTGTGTATGCCATACTACTTGTCCTCACCATCATAAGTCCATCAGCAGCCTAAGGGCAGAGCAGAAAGAACACAACTTGGCAAAAGTATGGCATCTTGAAACATAAATAAGACTGTGAAAAAGACTAACAAAATAACTGGAATTTCCGATACACCAAAATTTTTGTGATTTGGAAGTGTTATTCTTAGGCTGAGAGTGAAATCCTGTTTTTTTTCTCTTGAAACTTCTTCCCATTTTGTTTCATGTTCTGTCCTTAAAAAGATACATACCTGTTGTGTATATTCATCCCGATTTGACATCAAAAGAAATCCACCATCGTCAAGGATAACACAGTCCACATGCTATTATAAGAAAGTAAAATATGTTTTGCAGAAAGGACTTGTCAAGAGAACACTCTGTAAGAAACTATTTTTTATTCAACACTTCAGAAGTATCTTCAAATCTATGTGACTCAGGCTAAATCACAACCCCATAGCCAAGGGCCAATATTAAGCTATAATAAGCAGCATTATCAGTATTATAAAAGTTTGTTCAGATCAAAGGCTTATTTGTGGCTTAATTTCATAAAAGTTGCTTTGTAAATTCTTATTTGCTCAATACTTTGTTAGCTTTGAGTGCTATATCCTTATTAAATCTGATTATAATTGAACCTCAACTCATAATAAGGGACTACAACTTCTCGTGTGCTTCAGCCATGCTTAAAGTCCTTTTTCATTTGCAGCTTTTAATGGTAAAAGTCTTAAGGGCAGACTCTCAGCTTGCTAGTCATGCTCATTTTCACTTGCCAGGGACTGCAGTGGGTGTTTTCCAGATGTCAGGTGCGGGACTGGGAAGCCCACCAGTTCCCTGTGCTTTGTAACAGATCCTTTCAGTCAGAGATGGGAGAGATAGCAGTGAGGCCAAATAGATAACCTCCCAGAGTACACTTTTTTGCTGTAACTCCTGCATTTAATGATCTTCACACTCCACAAAAGAATTCACGGAAGACCTGAGCAGAGAAAGCTTTTAAGCACGTGGCAGAATCTGATACTGTGATTGCCCCTGGAGCTGTGCTCTCCTGAGTGCTAGCAGAGCTCCGGGATCCCCGAATCCTGAATGGACTGGGAACAGAGGAGAGGAGGATGCCTAATGACTGTTGAAGGGCACATCACGTATTCTGGTGCTTTTCAGTTTGCATTTATCCTTCTCTAAGGTACTTTTCTGCTAGTGCTCTTTTTCTCAGTTTGGTGGGTTTTTTGTTGTTTGGTTTTTTGTTGGTTTGTGTTTTGTTTTTTTTTTTTTTTTTTTTTAATTATTCCCTTTCCTCAGGATTATCCCCTTGCTCTGAAAGTTACCATTACACTTTTCTCACATTTTTCTTCACATCATTCTCTGTTTTCTTAGTCTATTTTTTTTTCCTTCCCTCTAGTTCTCATAACCGCATTGCAACGATTCTTGCAACTACTGCTTCACCTTATATACTCTCTTTCACCCCCTTCTCTCCTAATCTTCGTCTCTTTCTCAAGACACAAATGACTAAGTCCGGTTTTCTGTAAAATTAACCCTAAAATAATAATGATAGAATAGTTGTCTTATATAAATCTAGAGAGAATGAGTGAATTTTCATAATCTGCCAGATATTCATAAAGTGAGCATATTCTTACCATGCTGTTTCTCTCACAGCCACAGATTTCACTGTTGCACTAAAAAACAGAAGTACAGTAATCTTTACAAAAATGTTTCAAAAGAAACTATATTTCACAGTGATATTAATCAAGCAAGACAAGTGCAACTGATTTGGATTTCAATATCTGTATACTAATCAAAATTAATTTTGGCTTTGTGTCGTTTATCACAAATATCTCTGTGAACAACCTGTATTCAGTAATTGTCAACAACACAAGCTCTACTGTCTTTCACAAAGTCTCTTATACATCTCCCTTTTTAAGAATGCTCAATATATTAGAGATAAATAGTTTGGGGGACTTGTCAGGCTGTCAGTGTATATATATTTGTGTGTATAAAGTAAAAGAGAAAGAATATGCATTTCTATGTGTTTGGGGTATGGCAAGAAAACCCAGAAAACATCCTGCCAAGTATTTTTTTTTTGACCATTAAAAGCTTCACCAGTCTCAAAGCATGGGAAAACCCATGTGATAAAAGAAGCCCTCCATCTCCAGTTAGCTTGTATGGCTTTAATTACAAACATATTTTTCTTTTTCTTGCAATATGTGTATACATACAGACATAACTGTCTCCTTGCATTGTATCCTGAACGAAACAAGTACAGGACAATGCTGCAGTCACTCAACTCAAATTAATTCTGAGATATTCCTCTTTCTTTCTTTTTTTCAGTTATGTATTGCTGTCCTTAGCTGTTCAGATATTTAGGGAATGCGTTTGCCTACCCATTGAGCTCTAACACGCGCAATGGCCAGACACTGTTATAGATTCCTTTGATATCCAAGCAACATTGCCTCATCCAATTGTTCTATAATTATCTTCATTCAGTGCCTCTGTTGTACTATTAATGCACTATTAATTCTTTTTTCCTTTGATTTGTTCTTTGGCCCTTCCCATTTAAAGCTAAACATTAGATGTAAGGAATGAAAAGGTTAAGCACCTATTTCATTGAGTTCTACTAAAATGCTGTGATATTGGTTGCCATGTAAATCCTTACTGTTTACGAATGCTCCATATTAAATAAAAATAGATTCTCTCTCTTTTTTTTTTTTTAACCCAAGGCTTTTGCAGATTTTATTCACTGCTACAGCATAATCTTAGTAGGGAGCCTACTGGCTGGAATATGTCATTTTTCTTTGTCTTTATCCATGTTGTATAATTATGAAAGCAAGACACGTACAAAATACAGCCTGTTTCAACATAGATTTATTTTGTGCATTTGGATGATTTAAATACCACAACTACTTGGCAACTACGCATCAGTGTGACTCTGGCACAAATAGCTATTAGACCTATTTGCATCTGAAGCTTTGAGAAATGCAAACAAAGTTCAAAAAAGACTTGGTCAATTGCTTACCAGGCTTTTGATTGTGGTTTTTGTGAAATTTTCCATCCAGCTGTTTGCGTCAATTTTTATTCCAACAACTAACAAGAAATACATGAAAGTCTTTTTTAGTAAAATGAAAAAAAAAAAAAAAAGGTAACTGTAGAATCCTAAAAAAAAAAGGGAAAAACTATAATAACATCTAAATTATTAAACTGGAAAAGGATAAAATATGAGTTTTGTTCGGTTGTCTGACCACCAACATCCTTCATGAGACTAATAAATTAAGCACTCTTACTCAAACACAGCCAGATCTTTGGCTTGATTTCCACTAGCAAGATTAAAAGAGTCTCGGAGAAAACAATGTTATATAAAGTGAAGTTCCTTTGAAATCTCAATTAAATTTCTAATTCACTGTTGAGCAACAAACAAATAACGAATGTATTTAGAGTTTCAGCACCACTCTGTCTTACCTGCTGGTTTCAAAAGCTTCCCATTAATTGTTATTTCCACAGCCTTGCTTACCATAATACCTGTTTCATAGCTATTGGCACCACTTTCTGAGAGTATAGAAGGGGAACAAAAAAAAAAAAAAAAAGTTAGGGTCATATAAAAGCCTCTTCCTCTGAAAGTGAAATTAATGATTAGTGAAATACCCAGAATGATTAAAAAAAAAAGTCCTTATACAAAAGCACTGATCCAGTTGCACTACCCATTTATCACCTGTGAGAGCTCAGATCACCAACATCTGGATGACTAAGAGAAATACTTTTGTTTACTTTTCTTCATTCACTTTTTGTACAGTTTCACTGTTTCATAAAGTTACTGTAGCCTTTTTTTTTTTTTTCTTTCCTGCAAGCAGAGCCATGAATAGCCTTACACATGTGAGCGGCTCTGTTAAAACCAGGACCAGAGCCAAAGATTTTATCCTGCTGTCGTCTGTGTATTTTTCAATGCAGGGTATACTGACACCGCTCACTAACCAACAATTACTTCTCTGACAGACTTCAGCCTGTTTTCAACACTGCTTAGTATGAAAAAGCAAGTTAGAAGTACATTCCCCGGAGCTCTAAGGAACAACAAAGGCTTCAGGGAATTCAGTTAATTACCTTGTTAATATTTTATTAAGAAAAGATGCAATAAATAAGTATGAAATAACAGCAATAAAAGATCCCATATGTTTAAGAGAGGAGTATGTCATTTGTGGTAGCATCTGCTTTTAGACGAGCTTGGCAAGGTTAATGCTGCTCACATCGGTAATGAGCACTTACTATTGTGCATATATAGGTTTTAAATATCACAGTATTTCAGATAAACTGGTTTTGGTGAATAATAGCAACTGGAAATAGAACTCAAAAGCAAAAATTAAATTAAGCAACAGTGCAGTGGACAGAGTTGTGGACTCTGGACTGTTATACCCACTTCTCCAAGCCAGGTTTCGTGCTGAGGAATTATACAGAACTATGCTCAAATAAGGCTCTTTAAAGTAGTGTTATTATCCTCAGGTGTGATTTTTCTCACTTCCTTTTAAAATAATTCTGACAAAGCACCTCTATAAAACAGGTTTTCAGTATCATAAATGAACACCAGTACTCTGCATGTTTTCAGCTTTGTTAATTCTGAGCATGCAGGGCCACCAGACTCAATGACAAATTATTATGTCCCTTATTTAGTCCCCTCCTAGCTACCTTTTCCTTAATAATGAGTGATGTCCCAGGATTTTTTCTCCTTATGAAGTGTCCCACTTGTGTGCTTTGTCAGTGATCTCAACTGGTATGGGAAACTTCCATAAGTACACTTACATCGGACTAGCTGGCTCTGACATTTCAAAGCAGTGATGACTTACTGTTGTAGTATGGAGCTGTGAATATATAGTTGTCATTATCTAAACTCCGTTTATAGAAGCTGACTTCATAAGTTTCAGCATTTTCCAGCCAATCTTCTCCTGCCCTAATCACAAAAAAAACAGCGATCGAAAAAAGATAGTTAGTGTCTCATTAAGGCTGAGCTGCCGGGGGGGTATGTTTCACAATTGGAAATAATGTGAGAGTCATTCATATAGTCCTTAGACTTTGTCAGCTTTCACTGACAAGGTGACAACTGCCAGGTGCAATTATTATTTTTTAAAAAGTGGGAAAAAAAAAAAAGAAAAATAGTATTCTTGGAACAGCACAGATCTTGTCTTATTATTTTTAGATATAATGAGACAAACATAACTGCAAAATTACTTCCAACAAAATATAAAAAAAAACTTTTATAGCACGTGCTATCTCTTGAGAAATCATCCCAAAAGATTTTATATTGTTAATAACACCAAAACAGAAAAGATACTGATTTTGGGAGTAAAATTCATTGTCATTTTCCCATTTTGGGGAAATACAGAATAACCTAAGAAAATAGATAAATTTGCCATTTACCCATATATCTGTACTGGTGCCCGCAGTATTCCCAGTCACTGATTGGGAGCATCTAGTTTATTATACAACCACCTTCACATTCCCTTTTTGCCCTCTGGTAATGATATATTTTTCTCTTTTGAAGTCCCTGGACCATTTGGTCTGCTCTTATTAGTCTAAAAAAAAGAAAATCAACTACTGCTTTACAGTATTTGCAGCCTGCCAAACAAATAACTGCTTAGGAGTAATTAGGGATTAGCATGGCCCCACTATTACCACAAGGGCATTGCTTTTACTGCTACTCTACACTGATTAGAAACTTGGATTACATGACTGGCTATGGAAATAATGTTACAGATCAGTTTCCAGCAGTGACACAGGTAAAATCAAAGAAAAACAAGACATTCCATTCATTTCATAGTTATCAGTACAGATTAGACTGTAGGAGAAGTTGTTTTTCATTCAATAAATCCATTATTTAACATTCGACCCTTTCACGTTTCAAAATTATCGTATTATACTATTTTATAATAATTGTTACCTTTTTGGGAACACTCTGGTAATTCCACCATCTGTAACAACAAATTGTGCAACAACTCCATCACTGTAACAAAAATAAGATTTAAAATGAAAACTGACTGAAATTCTCACTAGTTTCTATGTCAAGGGTAGCAATTTAAGTGCATAACTGTGAATTAAATATTGGTCCTGTGTAAACATTAACTGTATATCCTCACACATGAATATTACTTTATTATCAAACTTTGAAATGCATAAAAAAAGCCCCAGTCAATTAAAAGAATACTTACAGAGACAGTTTACTCCAATAATTTTGGGCAAGTTCATTTGTAAATCCTGCATCCAGCAAAACTCTAATGACCATATCAGTATTACCTATCAAAAGAGTTAAGACACTTATCTGAAACTATATGACATGGAGTTTCATTAAACAGCTAAAATGAAATTCTGAGTTGTCAAGGCGCTACGGCCACAAAAATTGGGCTATTTCTATCAGACATACTATCTAACTTCAAATTACATCATGTACTTGATGTTAAATAGATTACTCTCACACTGTTGACTTCACTTAAACTTTTCCTTCATTGTATCCTAAAAAACTATCTTTGTGTCATAGGAATAAGCAAGGTGATAAGGGTACAGGTCCCAGTTTTGCAATGAAATATAACAATAATTTGATAAAATTTTGGCATAATTACTTACTAAGCCCTGGTGTATACTGTAATATCACTAAATGTGTCCTCCATATTTGCTTATATAACTAGTGAATATAAAACTAGAATTTTTGTTTATTAACAAATAAAAGTTTCATTTCCAAGATTGAGTAAGGGACTCAAGTAAAATTTCAGTCAGTCAGCAACATATCAATGAATAAGATCACTGTGTCAAAAACAACAACAAACACCAACACATGTACACAAAAATAGCTTTTTGTGAGAAGATCTTTTATCTAAGTGCACCTTCCTTCAGTTACATGGTCTAGCAGAGAGATTCCTATTGAATTGATCAGTGGTCCCTGACAGCAACATGCTAAAAAGACTTGGGAAATGTAAGATAAGAAAAAAAGGTTTATTCCAACTGTTTATAAATTATTAATAGTGCTAAACAGACTTGTATGCATAAACAAATCTAAACTTTGAATTTTTCATGAGAACAAGACTTTAATGCATTACTAATCGTTCATTGAAAAGCTTAACTCCTCATTTGTTCTAAATGGAGTTTAAGGCCAAATTTAAATATACAAGTACCTTCCCAAAGCCCAGTGCTCACCGCTGCAACAGTTACATCGATCCGTGGTCTTTAACAACTCAAGCCCAAGCGAGATCTTTCTAACCAATTTGTGAACCAGCAATAGAACTTCCTTATCTTTTATTCTGGTTATTGGTTATTTTGGTTCTCTGCTCCTTTTCTTTACTTATTTTGGTTATATAAGCTGACAAGAAAGCAGACTGAAGATTTCATTACAAGATCTTGAAGTCTACTTCAGACTTACTTTGGCTGATATGCTCAACAGAAAAAAGTATAAAATCCAAATGCTTGGAGTGTATTAAAATGAACTGGTAGTTATCTGCTGCTAAAACAGAATGCTGAGAGGAATAGTGGAAAACACTGCATGCATAATGCCCTGCAAACTTTCTTGAATAAACCCAGAAAACTGCAAACTACTTTTGCAATCTCTACCTTGGGTAGAAAATCCCCAAACTAGATGCATTTCTACTATAAAGATAAGCGAAGATAAAAACCCGACCCACATGATTTGGGCATGAAAGCTGTCATTCATTTACAAGTACTTTTTTAAGAAAAAAATTTGGTGAAGTGAGAAGAATACTTACATGATGAACTGCTTGGAGTATTTCTGTCAATAAATTCATTGAAATTTAATAGGAATTCAGTGTTGTTATCTGATTTTTTTACATCATTACAGTATTCTCTGAAAAACAACAAAACATAAGCCTTCTCAGATTTCTTTCCTTTGCTACTAAAACAGACAAATATGGGTCAGCAAGTTTAAAATCCAAGCAGGACTGTGCAACGACAATGAGGTGTCTGGTGCTACTACGTCAAGTGACTACCACGGTCAATACTGAATGTTAACCATATTGAGTATTTCAGGAATCTACAGGAAATAAATTATTCAAGTGGCTGCCTAAATCTGAATTATAAGAAACTCTACATATGAGATAAGGCATAGATTCCCAGAAAGAGTACTCAAGACCAGTGTAGGCCATGAATTTGGGAGATCATAGAGCCTATAATCTAAACAAGAAAATGCCCAGTGAATTTAGTTTGCTCTGTTAAACTGTACTGGAGAGTACATGGCTTGCTCTTTAAAACATAGACACGTCATGCTCAACTAAGGCTGAATTTATGGGGTAAGGTTCTATCCTCTGAGAAGTCTTCAAGGCAATTTTAATAATACACAACACATAAGCATATAAACACTCTTTGTTTTGACATATACAAAACAGATAAACAGCAAACTACTGTCCTTTACATAACGTAATAAACCAAAGCAATAGATCATTGAGCAATTCACTGAACACAACCAAGTACAATAAAAGTTGCTGGGCATTTTGGAGGCAAACATTAGATGGTGAGTGGTATTAAACAACTTTAATTAAAATGTAGAGAGTATTCAACAGTAAAGCAGGGAGCTCTTGGTTTAAATGAGCTTTTTATATTAAATTAATTTTACAAACAAACAAAATCTGTTCAAGTATTTTATATGAATAAGCTATCTTATTACCTTTTACTTACTTTACCATGATCCTGGAAGAATACAGGCAGAATTTGCCCTACTATACAAACACCCACATTTAAATAGAGCTCAAGATTAAGCAGGCTTTGTTCATGTAGATCAGCCTAACTAGGGACTTGCTGGAAACTGCTAATTGGTACAATTAATTATCGGTAACTTCAGTCCTTCAGAAAAAGTAAATTAAACAATTAAGCTGAGAATAGATTTGAAGATAAAAGACTATGTTTTACATATAAATCCATCCGAAAACGTCTAAATTTAAAAGGATACAGAAATGTACAAGATAAATAAGAAATAGAACAATTCTTAACTGAACTTGTCTTTTAAATGAACTTAATTTTTAAGAACTATTTACCATGCTATTTTTCCCTTGAAAACATATTCACAAGGGCAAAAACGGCTACACATGAAAAAACAGGGAACTAATAAGCTTACTCAATCAGTTTTCAATGACTCAACCAGTTTTTTTGTTCAATGAGTCAAAAATTAATTCATCCTTAAGTGATAGAGAGCTCTGAAATACTTTATCTTGGAACTGGAAAACATCTCAATGTAAGTATTACGATACCAATTTTACAAATGCGAAGCTGAAGTACAAAGTTGTAAAATCTTAAAAGTCACAGCCCAGGAAATGAACAGATGTGTATAAGATTTCCATGAAAAACATCAATAAATGATGACATCAGATTTTACAGCTCTCTGATTAATATAAAAAGGAACCAGAGCCTGAAGATGCTATTTACACTCTAGCAAGAAGAAAAGATTGGTCTTGTAGGACATGACTATAATTACTGGTCTTTTACTTAGTATTTTTTACCAAAATGAACTATTCATCAAGTCTGTATTTTGTGAGTGTCATTAATCTGATCAAATGCTTATTTACTGCTGAAATCATACTTACTACTGGGAAATTAACCAACCTTGGTGCTATAAACGTATAGCCAGCTTCATCAAAATGATCAATCTTGAGTGTTTCTGAATCTACAAAGATGAAGAGTAAACACCAAGTAAGTAAACTGCGCTTTTTGCCATCATTTTTCTCAAAATATTTGGCTAGCTTTTGCATGCATCCATGAATTTAGAAAGAAATGTTTATTTTGAAACACTTTCCTGCTGATATACTGTACACTTCTCAGAACTTCACAGTATAGGAAAAAATTATTTGATTATTATATACAACATACACCTGGCAAAAATAATGTATCTAACAACTTACTTAGAGAAGACATTGTATTAGCATGACAACACAAAAACATATGAGTTGTTTTCATTAGAATAATAATCTAATACCAAATAAATATTTAGGACACTGAGTTGTTAGAACATGAAGGAAAATGCTCTAGTATTTTCTGCAAGAAAGTTTAAAAACCATCCATATAAGCATCACTTTAAATGCTACTGAAAATAATGGCTTCAAAAGCTGGTGTCACTGAACACTGATAGGACCAGACAAAGAAGGATTAGAGATTAGCAACATACTGAAATGTGCATGAAAACAGAAAAACACCGCACTTCTTTTTTTTTTTTTTTTTCTTTTTCTATTGCTATGGTACCCAATGACCATGGGAACAATCCTGAGACGAAGAATACAGAGGAGCATATCCAGTAGGAATAGAAATATAAGTGAAAAATATCAACTGCAGTAGACAGAAGGAAATTGAGCAACAAGAATATACTTGCCCTTTTTGATTGCCACTATCCATCAGAAAGAGAAAGCAGGGAAACAGAAAAAAACAGGGTAAAGCAAAAGGGGTCACAAACCAATATTTTATTCAAACAGCCCCTTGAATAAAAATATTGTGCATAGATAGATCAAAGGTTCAATTTACATACAGCTGTAGTCTGGAAAAAAGACAAACATCCTTGAAGACTGAAGAATATGTCCCTCACAATTATTTCTCAAGTACCTTCTATATACTGTGGCTATTTCAAGGGTCTGTTTTGCAGGTAATGTTTATATAAGTGCAAAACCAGCTGATCTAATCCATCAAGATAACCATATTCACTCACTAAAACTTTAATTTTAAACTATTGACTATTTGACAAAGTTACAAAATAAATCACTAATGATTAAAAACTTGCCATACTCTACTTCATATGCAGGAGGTGATGGTAAAGGGCAGTGATTTAGCACTAATGAAGTTTTCTCTAAACTAAGAATATCTAGGCCTGTCAGAGAGATTCACAGTGCTTTTCTAACTTTCTATTTAACTGCACGTTTGTTCAAGTTTATCATAACACTCGGACAAAGTTAAAAGGATGTCGTAGGTTCTATTTGTTCTACTGTCTAGATTACAGTTAAACTACACCTAATAAACATAAAGCTTTTGAATACTCACAAGTATCATTTCCAATTATCTCTCCAGTATCTGTAAATGGCTTGAAATTAGTCTAGTCCAAAAAATACATTAAAACACCCACTACAACTATTTGTAAAATGCAAAATAAAAACCTAGCTGCAAGCCAAACCAAACAGAGCTTTCACATTAATCTATTTCTACAAGCAGCAGAGGTAATTTGCTAAATATGATACTGTAACTACTGTAAAAATAACAAAAAAACACTTTACTACTATCATGACATCTAGCTAATAGAGTGAAAAAAAAAAAAAATATTATCCAGACCCTTAAAATGACAGCAACAGAGGATACAGGAAGCAATGATTCTATAGGTACAGAGCAAGTGGGAAGGGATTGTCAGAGGAACTGGGGTACCTGCACATATTCTATCATTATAGAATATTTCTTGTTCCTTGGATGTTACATTGGGGTTAGAATCATTGCTGCAGATTTTGGGTACATCATGATAACATCAGTGAATTCCACAAAAGTTATTAATTTTAAATATTGCTTTTTTAAGTGAATCTAAAACTTAGCAATACTAGCCAAGAACAGGGAACCTTCGTAGTACTTACATCTGGCTTGAGTTATTGGTTCTTCTATTTTGGCTTTAATATAATAAAAGCTGTATGATGGTAACACCAATGCCAAACTGCAACAGAAATGAGACAAGTAAAGCAATTATGTTATTTGCAGCAGTTTTCCAGTTTCAGCTTCTATGTATTTTGAAAACAATTAACAAGTTTGGAAGTTGGATCATCATGAGACGAGATTGTCATATCGTGACATACCAGCCTCACTCTTTGTAATGGACACAAGTAGGTTCATGCTGGTCTTAAAGTTCCCTGTGTTTATTTTTGTTCTTATTTGTGCCTTTAATCATAAATGCAGTTTTTAACGGATAAGCAAATACTTTCTAAATAACTGCAAATTATAAAATACATGATTTC